TCACATTTCTGAACAAAAAGGGGGTGCCTAAATTCTAGTTTCCATGGTCATTACGTCTCATCAACTCTGCACCTGCCCTCTACTAAGTGAACTTTTTGCACTTCCACAGTTGTTGGTTCAGAGCATTCTAAGCCTGCATCGATCTTGCATTCGATATATCCAGGGAAGTAGAAAAGTTTCAGGAACAGCCCTGGAATCAAACCCACAGTGAATTTGATAAAACTAAGTGCATTTTATCATCTAAATGATGAACTTCTTTTGCGTTTCGTGTTTTCTCATTTGGTTAAGTTATATTTTAAGAATTTTCCAGGATTTTCCAGGTATTTTGATACTTCCTATATAAATGAGTTAAACATATGGTTATTTAAAGTAAAACATCAAATTAAGTGCCTCAAACGGTTTTTTAAAGGCATGACAATTAGATGTTTGACAAATCAGCAATATAGTCTGGAACGCGCAAAAATTGTTCAACTTAAAATTGGTAGGTATTTCTGTTAAAAATACAAAAAAACTGGAAATGCTGCATTTGGAAGTTGAGTGTATATACAATAATTGCTATTATGAGTTTTCACCGTGTGCTCTTAAGTTTTCAAAATGACGTCCAAGCAATAGGAGCAGCGTGTCAAAATTTTTCTCGCGCAGCAAGAGAATCCGACGCTCTCACACGAAACTTATGTGAAGGCGGATTTCAAGCAGCTTCCGGGACAGGAGTTTTATACCACATCAGGAAAAGGGAAGGTGGCTGAAATTTTCAAAACCATCAAACTATCGAAGTTCCCGAAAAAATATCTGGCAGGCCATATGCACGTGTTGTCTAAAAAACGGCATTTTCATTACTACGGGAACCATCAATCAAGAGATCTACGTCCATGAGTGCCTGGAAAAGCGGCTGCTACCATTCCTAAAGCAACATAAAAGACCTGTGCTGTTGTGCCCGGACTTGGCGAGCTGCCACTATGGGAAAAAGGCAATCGAGTGGTACTATGCGGGTACCACAACCCTCCCAGCTCCGCCCTATCGAACGGTATTGGGCCTTGGTCAAACGGAATCTCAAAAAACTAATAAATCCATAGAAAACGAGCAGCAGTTTAAATGTAACTGGCGTTCGACGGCGAATAAGGTCGATGAGACCACTGTGCAAAATTTAATGGAAGGGGTTAAGCGGAAGGCACGGCAGTTCGGATTTGGCAAACCAAAAGAATAAACGAACATTTTTTTCTTTAAATATATGAAATGAACTACCAGAAGAAAAATATTTTTGTGATATGAATTTTGACTGAAAGAAACGATTTTTTTTATCGACCAATTTTTGCACGTTCCAGTTTTTAGGATAAAAACTTGTATAAATTGAAGTTCATCAAAAGTTTAACAATTTGAAAGCATTCACTTAAAAGTATATGCTTAGGAAAATCAGGATATTGATAGAAGGATAAAAGGATAATACTTTCCACTCTGCACACAATGATTATTTTACAGGGTCAATTATTTTTTACTGTGTTTTTGAACTGGTTAAGAAGTCAGTGAAATTTAAAATGACCGTTATCCGCGAAGAATCAATGACATCAACAAATTTTATTTTGTATCTTCGGAACAAATTCTGTAGAAGATCTGCATAGCTAGTGGCACCGGTGGTGTAGTGGTAAGCGTGATTGCCTCTCACCCCAGCTGACCTGGGTTCAATCCAGGTCAGCGCCGCCGGGATGTTCTGAGGCATAAAATCTCTGATCGGAAGGGAAGTAAAGCCGTTGGTCCTTGGTTCATAAGTTGATTGGTCGATAGGTAGGGTCCAGGTATGAGAGCTACCTTCCTGGCGTCGGTAACATTGGTATTCAGAACGGAAAACAAGATCGATGAAAAACAAACCAAGGAAAAAAAAACTTTAACTAGATTAACTTTTTGAAAAATACCCCAACTTTCATCTATGCTTCAAATATGATAAAATCTATACAGAAAAATTACAAGCGACAGCCCTATGGGGTTGTACGTAATGGTGACGTAGGACTACGTGGTCTTATATAATAAATCTTATTTGTTAACTGCAGTAGGAGCTTATGTTATGTGTAGGAATAGAAATTTGAGCAGGGTTCTCTCTGTTTACACTCTTTAGTATGACGCGCTTGACATAGATGGCCAACAGCAACTCACGAAGAGCTACTGATCCCGATCAATAGCGGTGTGGCTTCATCCTCCTTCTATGGATGCTCATGTGGGCTGCAGCTCGCTGTTAGCGGACAGCCTTTCGTTGTGTAGTGGAGCACACCACCCCTTACCACGCGGTGATTGGAAAAACACCGTATAGTGGGACCAGATGAAATTCAACTTTGAAATATGTGTTAGGGAAATAGCTTTTCGCAGGCAATCGGTGATAATTTTAATTTTAAAGTTGCATATTTGTGCAATTTTCAATGGTGAGTCTTAAATTTAACATGCGTAGAAATATTTCTGATCGATTAGTGATAAAATTCTTGAAATCGGTCCAGAAGCAGCTGAGTTATTAACATTCAATATCTTTCATAATTTTGTTACATGTTCTATTTTTGGTTTTCACAAAGTCTACCCCCATATAGAAATCACAGACGTAGTCCTACGTCAAAAAATGTAATACTTTTGAAACAACGCACGTGAAAATAAGTTTAATTTGAATTTAAAATTAAAATTGCATAGCTGCGTGTTTTCTAAAATAATTTTAATTAGCAGAACTGTTTTCAATTCTACCCCGGTACATGCAAGTATTTGATCTAAATGTGCTGTTATCTTCACAGAATAGCCTCAAGTTCATTTGAAACATCTCATGCGAATGGAAATTCAATATTAGTCTGAAGTAGCAATGCTGAGTGATTCCTAAAATGAATTAAATTACTGTATATATAATTATTTTCAAAAATACCCTCATATATAAAAGTCCCTACTTCAAATATGTAGAAATCTTTTAAGAATTACTTCAAATACTTTTGCAACAACTCATGAAATATTTCTAAAATAAATTGAATAAGCATAAATATTATCAAAAATAATCCATCATCAAATAATAATACAATCAACTCATAAGATTTGAGATTCAATTTGACATCCGGCCATCGCCATCCGGCCATTTCCATCCGGCCATCATAATCCGGCCATCACCATCCGGCCATTGCCATCCGGCCATTTCCATCCGGCCATTTCCATCCGGCCATCGCCATCCGACCATTGCCATCCGGCCATCACAATCCGGCCATTGCCATCCGACAATTGCCATCCGGCCATTGCCATCCGCCCATTGCCATCCGGCCATTGCTATCCGGCCATTGCCATCCGGCCATTGCTATCCAACCATTGCTATCCGGCCATTGCCATCCGGCCATTTCTATCCGGCCATTGCCATCCGGCCATTGCCATCCGGCCATTGCCATCCGGCCATTGCCATCCGGCCATTGCCATCCGGCCATTGCCATCCGGCCATTGCCATCTGGCCATTGCCATCCGGCCATTGCCATCCGGCCATTGCCATCCGGCCATTGCCATCCGGCCATTGCCATCCGGCCATTGCCATCCGGCCATTGCCATCCGGCCATTGCCATCCGGCCATTGCCATCCGGCCATTGCCATCCGGCCATTGCCATCCGGCCATTGCCATCCGGCCATTGCCATCCGGCCATTGCCATCCGGCCATTGCCATCCGGCCATTGCCATCCGGCCATTGCCATCCGGCCATTGCCATCCGGCCATTGCCATCCGGCCATTGCCATCCGGCCATTGCCATCCGGCCATTGCCATCCGGCCATTGCCATCCGGCCATTGCCATCCGGCCATTGCCATCCGGCCATTGCCATCCGGCCATTGCCATCCGGCCATTGCCATCCGGCCATTGCCATCCGGCCATTGCCATCCGGCCATTGCCATCCGGCCATTGCCATCCGCCCATTGCCATCTGGCCATTGCTATCCGGCCATTGCCATCCGGCCATTGCCATCCGGCCATTACCATCCAGCCATTGCCATCCAGCCATTGCCATCCAGCCATTGCCATCCGGCCATTGCCATCCGGCCATTGCCATCCAGCCATCACAATGCGGCCATCGCCATCTAGCCATTGCCATCCGCCCATTGCCATCCGGCCATTGCCATCCGGCCATTGCCATCCGGCCATTGCCATCCGGCCATTACCATCCAGCCATTGCCATCCAGCCATTGCCATCCAGCCATTGCCATCCGGCCATTGCCATCCGGCCATTGCCATCCAGCCATCACAATGCGGCCATCGCCATCTAGCCATTGCCATCCGCCCATTGCCATCCGGCCATTGCCATCCGGCCATTGCCATCCGGCCATTGCCATCCGGCCATTGCTATCCGGCCATTGCCATCCGGCCATTGCCATCCGCCCATTGCCATCTGGCCATTGCTATCCGGCCATCACAATGCGGCCATCGCCATCTAGCCATTGCCATCCGCCCATTGCCATCCGGCCATTGCCATCCGGCCATTGCCATCCGGCCATTGCCATCCGGCCATTGCCATCCGGCCATTGCCATCCGGCCATTGCCATCCGGCCATTGCCATCCGCCCATTGCCATCTGGCCATTGCTATCCGGCCATTGCCATCCGGCCATTGCCATCCGGCCATTACCATCCAGCCATTGCCATCCAGCCATTGCCATCCGGCCATTGCCATCCGCCCATTGCCATCTGGCCATTGCTATCCGGCCATTGCCATCCGGCCATTGCCATCCGGCCATTACCATCCAGCCATTGCCATCCAGCCATTGCCATCCAGCCATTGCCATCCGGCCATTGCCATCCGGCCATTGCCATCCAGCCATCACAATGCGGCCATCGCCATCTAGCCATTGCCATCCGCCCATTGCCATCCGGCCATTGCCATCCGGCCATTGCCATCCGGCCATTGCCATCCGGCCATTACCATCCAGCCATTGCCATCCAGCCATTGCCATCCAGCCATTGCCATCCGGCCATTGCCATCCGGCCATTGCCATCCGGCCATTGCCATCCAGCCATCACAATGCGGCCATCGCCATCTAGCCATTGCCATCCGCCCATTGCCATCCGGCCATTGCCATCCGGCCATTGCCATCCGGCCATTGCCATCCAGCCATCACAATGCGGCCATCGCCATCTAGCCATTGCCATCCGCCCATTGCCATCCGGCCATTGCCATCCGGCCATTGCCATCCGGCCATTGCCATCCGGCCATTGCCATCCGGCCATTGCCATCCGGCCATTGCCATCCGGCCATTGCCATCCGGCCATTACCATCCAGCCATTGCCATCCAGCCATTGCCATCCAGCCATTGCCATCCGGCCATTGCCATCCGGCCATTGCCATCCAGCCATCACAATGCGGCCATCGCCATCTAGCCATTGCCATCCGCCCATTGCCATCCGGCCATTGCCATCCGGCCATTGCCATCCGGCCATTGCCATCCGGCCATTACCATCCAGCCATTGCCATCCAGCCATTGCCATCCAGCCATTGCCATCCGGCCATTGCCATCCGGCCATTGCCATCCAGCCATCACAATGCGGCCATCGCCATCTAGCCATTGCCATCCGCCCATTGCCATCCGCCCATTGCCATCCGGCCATTGCCATCCGGCCATTGCCATCCGGCCATTGCCATCCGGCCATTGCCATCCGGCCATTGCCATCCGGCCATTGCCATCCGCCCATTGCCATCTGGCCATTGCTATCCGGCCATCACAATGCGGCCATCGCCATCTAGCCATTGCCATCCGCCCATTGCCATCCGGCCATTGCCATCCGGCCATTGCCATCCGGCCATTGCCATCCGGCCATTGCCATCCGGCCATTGCCATCCGGCCATTGCCATCCGGCCATTGCCATCCGGCCATTGCCATCCGCCCATTGCCATCTGGCCATTGCTATCCGGCCATTGCCATCCGGCCATTGCCATCCGGCCATTACCATCCAGCCATTGCCATCCAGCCATTGCCATCCAGCCATTGCCATCCGGCCATTGCCATCCGGCCATTGCCATCCAGCCATCACAATGCGGCCATCGCCATCTAGCCATTGCCATCCGCCCATTGCCATCCGGCCATTGCCATCCGGCCATTGCCATCCGGCCATTGCCATCCGGCCATTGCCATCCGGCCATTGCCATCCGGCCATTGCCATCCGGCCATTGCCATCCGCCCATTGCCATCTGGCCATTGCTATCCGGCCATTGCCATCCGGCCATTGCCATCCGGCCATTACCATCCAGCCATTGCCATCCAGCCATTGCCATCCAGCCATTGCCATCCAGCCATTGCCATCCGGCCATTGCCATCCGGCCATTGCCATCCAGCCATCACAATGCGGCCATCGCCATCTAGCCATTGCCATCCGCCCATTGCCATCCGGCCATTGCCATCCGGCCATTGCCATCCGGCCATTGCCATCCGGCCATTGCCATCCGGCCATTGCCATCCGGCCATCACAATGCGACCATCGCCATCTAGCCATCACCATCTGGCTGTTGCATTCCGTGGTTGTGACTGCCAGAATCGCCTAGCACACCAGACCAGATCGGTTCGCGCAATATAATTTGTCAAGGTAAATTAATTCATTGCGTTAATCAGGACAGCTTACCCCGAAAATTCCCTCTCGCCGAAAAATCCTGGAACCCGAGTATCGTGACCAGCCGCCATTGCCACGTATGCGCCGTCCATGCTCTCACTCAAGTCGGCTGACTCCTCGGGTACACCTGCCGTAACGCCCGTTATCGTTCACTATATCCAAAAGACTAACTCGACTCAATCCTCCAACAGAGCAGGGTTGCCAAAAGCAAATCTGTATTTTTGCTTAAAAAATCTTTTCATCTGTATTTCTTCTTCGCAAAATCTGTATCAATATCTGTATAGTTTTAATATTGCGTATTTCGCTCCAAAATTAACAAAGACGTGTATGAGGTGCGGTAACGGTCATAAAAGTGCTTTTTTGCATCAAATCGTGTTAGTAAGTTTTGCGCCGAATACATTTATAGCGGTAAACTTCAACTCGGATTTACTTTTAATACCGACCCTGTTTGGAAAATCTGCCAAATGTTTGCTTAAGATTTAATTGATTAATAGCACTGTCTATACCAAATCAACCCAACATTCGTTATCGGGATTTAAACCAAGGATAATATCAGTTGGTGCTTACCGCCATAAAACCATTCAAGTATTAGTAATCAAAAAAACAATGTATATGTAATTTGTGACGCAGGTAATTGCATTTACATACATTTCTGTCATGCAGTTGTGTGTGCCCGATTACTTCACCCATGTAATCCAGTTCATTGAGTTCTAACTCTCGAGGCAAGGGTATTAATCATACGGTAACATGAAAGTAGGTCTGATGCAAAATTTAGCTGTATTAAAGACAGACATCAAAATATCTGTATATACATTTACCCAATCGAAAAATCTCGATATTTGTATATACAGATTCTTGGTTTAAAAACTGCTTAAAAATCTGTATAAATACAGATTATTTTGTATTTTTGGCATCCCTGCAACAGAGGTCGATACCAAGCGTTACCAGTATTCCAGATTTATCTGGATTTTCCAGATTTTTAAGCGTCTTTCCAGATACACAGATAGACCACGTATATATCCAGATTTTTTTTAAATATGTTCCTATGTGTCTAAGATAATGCTTGAATAGATAATATATATGAAATGGGGAATGTTCCTTTTTCTTTTCTTTTTTTTTTGTTTAAATTATCTGTATATCAACCATCTAAGACATTGGTAAAATCTAAATATAATACTACTTACCACACCGGGAACATAAGAGGCCTTTGGTGCCCACCCCAGTAACTGCCGACAGACTTAGACCAGCAACGTTGGCGCTTCTCCTTCCGGGATGGAGCGAGCTTCCCGGAGTAAAAAGTAGTTTTAAGATAGTGAGAATAAGGGCGTCTCTGTGATGTTTTGCTGTACCTGTTGTGGACATTAGTACATCCTTGTCCTTAAACTTGTTGAGGATGCCTTGTCTTGCCTCAAAAGGTAAGTAAGAACGTTTGATTGTGCTGGATATCACGTCATTTGAGATTTAAATTTATATCAAATACTGGGGGTACGTGAAATTTTCCAATCCGAAGATTTCTTGGTGTGTACTGTAAATCGAACCCATCACCGTCTGGGCGGGCTTTTTTCATACTATACTTTTGGAAGACCCATAGGAAAGAGCCAAGATCGTATCCTTCCATGAAGCATCAGTTACAACCGTCCCAGCATTTCCTGATTATCCAACTAATTAGTACACATTAATTTCCACAACGACACTAGCCTCCAATTTTCCGTTGCAGCAGAGTTTTTGTTTTAAATCCCACACGCCTTCCCGTACCGAACCTTTCTTTTAAATTAATTGTCTCTCTTGCACTGCTGATACCAAGAATCAGACACCGTGTCAAATGGTGAAACTCGCAGCAGAAGAAAATAAAATAAACTTTTAATGATGCCCTGCAGAAATATGTATTAAACCCGGGAATAGGGATTAATTTTTTTCCCAGACTTCCTTCGTCGTCATCGTCGGATCTTCTGGTCCGGGTCCATCGTCCGAATGCACGAGTGGACACATTATCGCTCAGTAATCGCCTGTTTCATTGTCGAGACCAACCCCTGCCTCCGTCACTTGATTTTATGTCCTGGACGATAGAGAGGACAGAAGAAAAATGAATCCCAACCTAGAGTCCCGAGAACGACAGTTAATTTAAAGGGAAGCTTACAGCAAAAATATTTCTTTTTCTGGTGGGTTTTGATTATATTTATATTGCAATAAGATATATAAATTTCAAGAAAACCATATTTTCTTTAGATCCTGAGAAAATGTTCAGATTTTTTTTTTATCTCATCATGAAAAAAAAAGTTGGACTCAAAATAAATCGAAAAGTCAATATATGCTTTTTTTTAGTACAACGATCTGCCCTGATGAAAAAGAAGAAATGTTTTTTACACTTTAATTTTCTTTAGAAAAATACAAAATTCAATATTTTTTTCATTGTTTAAAAAAATCAACCTTGTTGGTGGTTAGCTTTCCCTAAAGGGCTCCGTTTGATTCAAGCCGGGTTCATCTTTATCCAGCTTCATCTCTGGAAAAGGAATTTGATTTAAGCGGTGCAGGTTGTGTAGTGGTAAGCATGACTGTCTCTCACCCCAAAGGGCCTAGGTTCAATGCCAGTCGGCGCCGTCGGGATTTTCTAAGGCATAACATAATCATAAGTGAAGTAAAGCAGCTCGACCTCGGTCCATGCGTTTTATGAGTCGATAGATGGGGTCCAGGTGTGGGACCTGCCTCCTGGCTTCGGTAGCATTGGTACGGAAAACAAGATCTACGGAAAACAAATCATAAACGGAGTTCGATTTTATCAGCACACTGCTACCGGTATTGTCAAAGTATTTGAGGCATTGATTGTATTAAGCTCGGTTGTTGGAAATAATGTTAACGTATTTCTCGTTAGACTCGGGAATAGGGAACAGCACAAAGCACAGACGAGTAAACAAAATAGATATGTGTGTATGCACGTCAAAAATAAAGAGACGTGCAATGAGCTTAAACTATGTGCTTGTGCTAATGAGATAGGGGAATTTACGTATTCTCGGCAACCTAAGCAGCGACCTTCTTTCTATAGCCTTTTTCTCTGAGGAACGCACACATATGCAGTATTGGTTTGTTTACAATCTTTTGCTGCCAGCTGCTCTAACAATTTCTGTTGAAAGAATTGTCAACAACTGTTTTGAAACGCTTTTACAAAGCTCCAATCTTCTCTAGTGAGAGCGAGTATTGTCGGCAACCAGTTTTTCTTCGGCAACCGTTCCATTTGAACTGCATGTAAATCTGCTGTTCTATTATCGGCAACTCGAAATCAGCTTCAATTTGTAGTGCGTGTGTTTCATTTCAAGAAAACCTTGCTAGATTGCTTTTTCTCAGTGGTAAAAATATAGTCAAATTGAAGCTGAAAGCATAAAAAATCGTTTGCATGCATTCAGCGAAGTGTTTTCGTAAGAAAATCCAGTGAAAATAGTGTTTCAATTTGGGTTGCCGAAAATAGTCTGGCATGCCGAAGCCGTCATTTCCCCTATGTGTACTAATGTAGAATGTGCTTATATTCCAAAATTTAACAATATTTAAAGCTGGAGTGAATAATAATATTGCGTCAACTTACAGAACTAACATCCAAAATGTTGTTTATTATTTTGGAACCGTTTATAATGGAATGAGTTTATCATGTGCTTATTTTATGCCCTCTTTGTGTTACCTACCCATATCGCACGTCTCTCAAAATGTTTGTGCGATCTCTTTGGTCTCTTACTCTCGCAAAATTCGAGTGCAGGAGACTAACAGCACAAACTTTTTTTGAGCTGTACGCGTGCTTCCCGACGATCCCTGGTTAGATTGATCACATTTTGCCATAAATTTGCTCCCTTTTAAAAAAATACAGCATCAATTTTGCTGCCAGCGAAGCATGTCTGAGATATCTGACATAAATTGAGCTGAAATAGTTTATACTGTATTGCGATTGTCACATTCCATACAGACTTTATTACCTTTTGGTCGAATCAACCCGGTCACACAGGCAGCTAGGCTTCATCTGCAGCAATAACAAAATCTACCGAAGAGTGACGTTGCCGGGTCTCAGGCTTTAGCCATAAAACTCTGTAGCAGAGAAAATGAAACATATATGCACCCTCGTGATTCAGCGGAAAAATTGCAATTTGATGAAAATAAAAA